AAGTTAATTCCCTTAACTTTACAAAACACTCTTGACTGATCACCAAGAGTAAACAATTTATTAGAATTGTTGTGCTGACTCTGAAATTATATCGGTGGACGAATAATTTAAAGGTTGGTATTAATAATTTTAATTCACGCAATCATTTGCTTTAGTGTGATAATAAGTACATCTTATTTTCCACACTAAAACCCTACAGGTGCTATCATCAGAACCTGGTTTCATTGGCTTTGCATAGACTGTGGCAAAGAACAAGCTAGAATGTATCTCTGTCTGAAATCTTGCTTGTAGATGTCTTCTCCACTGCCTCATGTCTGTAAAGGCAAAAGTATCTCCCTTTAGTCTGGATCAAGCGCTGCCCTAAACAACTGCTTCTATCACTCATATCAATGGAGCCTGGTGCTGGTTCCTAAAAACTCTGGTTGTTTCAACTCTTTGTCCTCAGTCACTGACTCTTACTGGAGTGGATCTTTGACCACTAAGAAGCTACAATTCGGTATGTTCCCATGATCTCCATGTCACGTTCAACATAACCTATGGTGGGAATCAGCAAAGACTTTGCTGCAATCGCCTTCAGTTACTTAACTGCAGGGAATACATCCACCTCCTTTGTTAGTCGCTGCTCTCTGAAGAAATAGTAAGAAATGTTGGTTTTCTGTGCATAATGAGCATCTCACCAATCTGTACTGCAATGTACCAACACTCACCCGCTGACCATAAAAGGCCTGTAGTGGTTGAACTACTCTGTGTAAACCCCTGTATTAAACAGCTTGCTAGTTCTTTAAGCTCTCAGGCTTTCTTCGGCCAGTGGTGGAAGAAGTATTCAGATGTTATTCTAAAGTAGAAGTGTCAATACAACAAAGTAAAAATATTTCATTACAAGCCAGGTGGGGTTATAGCATTGAAGTGAAGATGCTGTTTTGGTTCTCCTGAGTTTACTAAAAATGACGTCATTAGATTATTATTTTTGGGCTGCAGGGTGGCGCAGTTGGTAGCACTGTTGCCTCGCAGCAAGAAGGTTGCTGGTTCGCGTCCCGGTGGGGGCACCAGAATCTTTCTGCGTGGAGTTTGCATGTTCTCCCCGTGCAGCGTGGGTTCTCTCCGGGTTCTCCGGCTTCCTCCCGTAAGGTCCAAAGACATGCTGAGGTTAATTGGTGATTCTAAATTGTCCGTAGGTGTGAATGTGAGTGTGCTTGGTTGTCTGTCTCTAAGTGTAGCCCTGTGATAGAATGGCGACCTGTCCAGGGTGTCCCCTGCCTTCGCCCTAAGTCAACTGGGATAGACTCCAGCTCCAGATGGATGGATAGATTATTATTTGCTAAACAGCGAAGAATCTGTGTATATTGAGCATGTTGCTACTTTGTATCCAGTTGTTATATACAGGAATAGCAGATAAGTCAGAGGGGCCGTTCCATGAATCGTAAGAAATGAGAGAAGAAAAAACAAAGTTCTAATCCACAAATGTTTTCAGTTTTTGGCTTTTTTTTTTATTATAGATTTTTGCTCATATATTGGGTCACTGGAAAATGTGTTGAACTAATCCATGTGAAAAGCTTAGAGGGGGAAAAAAAATCACTATTTAGTGAAGCTGTAGCAACTCATAGACATCTGAAATATAAGCCTGTCTCCCCACACCACTCATTTAATCTGCACATATTGGTTGTATTTCAAATGTTTGTTATATTGATATTATATGATTGATTGATGTTATATTATCCTAAAAGTAACTAAAGCTGTTGCATAAATATATTGGAGTAGAAAATACAAGATTTCTGTCTGGAAACATAAAGTAGTAGAAAATGGAAATGCTCTAGGTACCTAAAAATCTTACTGAAGTACAGCATTTGAGTACATGTAGTTAGTTATTTTCCACCACTGCCTTTAATGCAAACCTTTTTAGAAGAGCGTTCTTTCTGTCGAGGCAATCACCTCCCTTCACCTCTTCAACATTGTTTGGATATTGACAGTCTGGTCACTGGTTCTCCACAGCAATTTCAGGCAGGCCTCATGGTCTTCTCTTTGGCACTGGCAATGCATGTTATCATTAAAGTTATTTATGCACTCGCAAATCCAGCCTGCTCTTATGTCCTTAATCTTTAAATTATCAAAAACTCTAAATAGTACAGACCATACTGTGGTACCAAAATGTGAATACTGGCAAAGTCTGAATGGCACTGGACACAAACCTACATTCAGGGATCTTCATTTGTTGATGACTCAAAAATGAGGAGATAAGTATTTAATTAATTTGAAGTGTTAATTACTTTTAGGTTTACCTAAGGTTTTTCTATACAAGCTAATCTACAACCTCAGACACAAAGTCTCACTTTGAGATTTAGTTCACTAGTGAAACATTCAAAGGATTACACAAAGCAAAGAGGTCATTATAATAGCAATCCAAGGGGCATTAACAAATCCTACACTAATTTAAGTGTCTGAAAACTGTACCGAGTTCTGTAAATGAGTTCACTGCCTAAACTGGGTGTATAAATTCAAAGCATGAGCTCAGTCTATCAGCAACTGCAATGGTAGCTCTTCTATTAACAGAAAATTAAAATAAACAAAATAACATCCAGTCAATGCTGACAGAATATGAATTATTTGTTACATTAATATTAAATGAATTTGTGCAGTGTATTTTAGTAGAAACTTTTGTGTAACTTGTGGCATGTGGTGACAGGCCACAACCACAAACAGCAAGTGCTTTAAGAAGTATTAGTCATACGGTCCTCACCAGATTTATGCACGCTCGTGTACAGAATCTGTAAACACTGGACCAACTAGATCATCATCATCAGCAAACATTACATTTTGTACATCTGTACAATCATATTACTGTACATTTTTTAACTTACTTTGTACAGACATTTAAAGCATATACTATATACCCCTTTGGAAAATGGCAAATGTCCTTCAAGAAAACAGGCGAGTTGCTCAAAAGAAAAGGCTCTTCCTGCTTCTTCTTGTGTTATTTTCCGTGAAGCACCTCGGCATCTAGTCATTTTGAAGTGAGCAATGTATTTTCCACAATGTATTTTCTACTACACATACAGTGTACAAACACCACTGGCCATTAGTGCAAACATGGTCTTCAGTCAGGTTAAGTCAGTTCAGGCATCAGTACGCCAAACATAATGAGACTGAGAGGAAACGAATTCTGTCAATTTCAATGTTATCAGTAAGCATTTATTTTACTGCTTACTTATAGTTGTGCTGTACAAGGGTTGTAACAAAATGGTGACAGATGTAGACCAAATATGGTAGATAGTAATAGAAGTTATTTATCTTAGAAAATGAGCTTAGATAATATACCCTAGCAAGGTTTGCTGTGAGTGTTTTGTAGCTGAGAAATGGCTGTGCATGTTAGAGTTTATGATATGTAAACTTACATCTGAATCCTTTGGAAGCTCATCAAAAGCAAAAATACTGAGAAACCACAAAACACATTTGTGTTTATTAGTAATCAAATTTAGAGCCAGGTTAGGAGAGTACATGAAGATAGCCGTTAGTGCAACACATATTTGAAATGTATGTTTTTATGACAATTAAGTAGGGCTGGGATCAGTCAACTTATCAATTCATTACAGACATCTCTACAATCCAATTATAATCACTTGATTTTTGCACACAAAGTTTATTCAGATATCAAAAACAACATAATTAATTATAAATACAGTAGATAACTGTTTTGTTGTTGTTTGTTTTTAAATTTTGTCTTATTTTTGTCTTTTGTTCACATAGACCGAACTCAAATAGAATTTTATAAGCCACAACCAATTAATGTTAATTTTCATAAAATGGACACAAACTAAAAGCAAAAAAACTCTCGTCAACAGGTGTGGCACAAATGATCTGCAAGTACATGTGTTGCTTACATGTTTTGGCCACCACTAATGAGTAAGGTGTGGCATAAGAAAAAAAAAATCCACTTAAGTAGACAGCTGTACTAAAAAGAAAATCAGTGAAACCAGTCTTGATCTTACCACAAACAATGATAGTGACCGCAGAGCTAGCTTGGTAGACCGTGTTCAAAACTTACTGACAATTGTTTTAGGTTCAATAGTTTTGTTAGTAATAAGCTTCCATAGAATCTTTAAACTTCAGAAATCCTTGTTCATACTATTAGACAGTGTAAACATTGCTTAGCCATGACAGAGGTTGATCTCAGACTTCAAATGCTTTTATGTATATCATAATCTGTATTTTGCTGCCACATTCAGGACAATGACAATAATTAAAATGTCACCACTGTTTGTACCCTTATTTTTATAGAAGGGATCAAACAGCAATACAAAGTTAACACAGACAAGCACTGTTGTGTATTATGAAAATTTGAAAACTTTAAGTCATTGTTAATGATGTTACAGTTTTACTGGTGTCTACAAGTGCATGTTCAATGTGTACTAAATAAATTATTTTACCTAGGGGCCTGAAATGTCATAGCATAATAATAATAATAATAATAATAATAATAATAATAATAATAATAATAATAATAAACAGCAGTCAATGAATACACTTGTTTAGAACCAAACCTGAAGCAAGGTCTGAAACAAAAACCAAAATGATAGGAAAATGTCTTGTCAATAAATAAATGAATAAGTAAATAAAACACAAATTAATTTAAATAAATAAATACATGAATAAATAAATATACTTATGTACACTTAAGAGATGCTAAACAACATCTGAAATGAGACACTCTGAAACAAAAATGCAGATCAACTAAAATCATGCATGGTCTGCCTTTTCTATAGAGTACTCAGTCTGTTTCTTTGTAATCAGCAATCAGCTCGAGGCAACCAGTCACATTTTATGTGCTGCCGGATGCATTTGGCACAGCTGATATTGGCTGACACTTACCCAATCCCTTCAGTTGGCAGTCAGTGCATTAGAGGACACACAAGGCAAAAAGCAGGACAGTTGTTCACTGTTAGCTGCATCCATTTTCTTTTAATATTACAATGGGGGGGAGGGGGGCGGGACATGACTACTGCCTTGAAGGTTTTTTTGTTTATGGGAAACTTTACTATTTTTCCACCTGACCTACAGTCAGACATTTTCATATGCTTTGTATCATGTATAAATTTAGCAACAGAAATGAATGTTGAATGTATTGCTTTGCCTAGATTACTCAAGTTTACAGATGTGCACAATAATCTCAGGTCTAAATATGGTTTATTACATATGGTTTGGTTTTTTATCATAATATCCAAATTCAACTTTTTTTCTAAATATGTGGTCATTTGTTCACAACTTTTCTGATATTTTTCTGCTCATAGTCATATTTTCTTGCAGGGTTCTTGATGCATTCTCAGACCAACTAGTGATCTCAACTAGTGATTTCATGATTACAGTGTTGTTACTGACAGGAGTGACTTGTCAGACTTGCAATAAAGGAGGCAATTGTTGTTTTAAATGACATACTAATTCTTAGTTTGCAGTGAAACAGGAAACATACAGCAAATATAATATACTGTGTAATCCTGCTGACTCTAATTAAATGACTTACAGTGGACGACAATCTTTTTCAACATGATTTCAAACATAACAGACTTATCATGAATTTCTCTGGCTGCGGATTAGTAGGAAAAATTATAAAACTCCCACACACTAATTGTCTTTTAAAAATCGCCATATTACAAGAGCCCTGAACTCCTGCTTAGTTCTGACCCTAACCTGTAGTGGATACTGTAAGAGTTACTCTTAAATTAAATACTGAAATCACCCGCTTCATTACCTTTGGCTGTAGCGAATTGCATCATACATTTCGTTAGCAGTGTCAGAGCTGCCTAAGTTCAAATTCATATACTAAACGTCGTGTGTTTCTATCATCATTAAAAAGATAAAAGAAATTTAGAGTTCCAAAAGCAGATGTGGCTTCAATTTGGACAGACAGATCTCTTGCAAAGTCCCTCGGCTAACAACTTATTTATCAGTTAGAGTCCAGAAATGCCAAGATATTACTGTTAGTTTAAGCCCCACAGGTAATGTGTTTGTTATGCATAATTCTATTCTATTCATCATTTGAAAGAAAAACATTTTATCCTTACCAGACACTCTCTAGCACTTAGGTAAAATGGTTTCTGCAAAGTCTACTTTTCATTTGATTTCCTGCTTCATCACCTTGAACTGTCTCAACAACACACCATTTACAAAAGTTTCTCCTCCAGATCTGTAAATTAAATATTATGTGTACAATAACTGAAGAAGAGACCACAAAAAAACAAAACAATAATCAATCCAGTCATTTAAGCGTGCAACTTCTCCAAAAAGCCTGTTTGAGCAGTTATTTTTCAAATTAAGATTTTCTTTTTCTTCCTTTTCTTCTTCTTCTTTTTAAATTTCTGATAAGACACAGAAATGAGAAAAGGTGGCGGTGCCCCAAAAAGATGGAAAGTTCTGAGTCCATGAAACACACTTCACATACTAAAGAAGATAGAACAAGAGAGAGAGAGAGCTTTCCCATCTCTGTAATTCACTTCTTGAACTGCATCTTTAGTTCTGTCTGATTCCTGTTTCTCCAGCTGGCATTATAGTGTATTTCACCAAACAGGACAAAACTGAACCTTTGATGCCTTCTGAGAGAAAGAATGAAACAGTGACTATATTACATAGAGTGATGGAAGTCAATCTAAAATTACGTAATTATGATCTTGAGGATTTACATTTGCTTCACTTACCATATACAGTATGTTTGTGTGTGTTTACAGTGTATGTGTGAATGTGTGAGTTCCAGCTGCTAAAACACAAAAGTCTCATTTATTTCCATTTTCATATTTCCTTTATGCTGCATCTGGATCAGCATATTTCACTCCCTTCAGTAACCATTCAGTTAAAAAAAAAAATCGTCGAAGTCTCTATAGAAGCTCTCCTCTGTAAGTAAAAACCTTTTGTTGATTGTGAAAAAGAAACTTGCTGTCAGACAAGATGTCGCACCAAGCTCTTCACTCCAGCATCTTCTTAAATGAAGCTCAAATGCCATCCCATTATCCACTGGGTCTGGCATGTTCCATTATCTGCCTTCCTGCCTTTCTGTCCACCTGTGGGTCAGTCTACTTAATGGGGTGCAGAGGAAGACAGGCGGGGTACGGGGTCAGGTAACAGGAACAAAATGGTACAGTAGGAGCAGTCCAGTAACCTGGGTTTAGGCATTTAAGAAAAGAGTGAGGAAGGAAAAAGAGGAAGGTATGGTGGTCTGTCAGTCGTGGGTTCAGTCAGTGGTCTTACTCAATGACCATGCAGTGCGGCAGGTGCTGGGAGTAGTATTTGAAGAGCTCAGCAGTGGCGCCAGGGCAGTTGGTCAGCTCCAGCTCCTCCAGTTCATGCAGCTGGATGAGGCCTGATAAACCGGTGGTGGTCAGCAGGGGGCATCCTAAGGGGAACACAGCAGGAGGATTATCTTCAGCTGTGAGCTGAATAAAGAAGGGTGGTGATCTTGCCAAAAGGTTACAAAGTGCCATCTGTGGTGTATGTGCTACTTCTAACATCTGTTCCCAGCATCAGTTAGTCTGCTAATTATCTTTCCACCTACCTATTATTTACTCAATTAACTGATTGGCCCATAAAAAGTCAATTAGAGACAATTTTCAAAAGCTATGGTAGCAAGTTTCAATTAAACTATTTAATGAGGTTTTTTTTTTTTTTTTTAAAACAGATGCTTTTTTTTTTTTTTTTTCTATTTAATGAGGTTTTTTTTTTTTTTGAATACAGATGCTTGTTATATTTTTGTTGAAGAGCTGAGAACTTTAAGGAGTATCCTCTTTCCTTGAGCAAATAGAAAATCTTTGCAATTCCTCCGACTTTAGCTACAGATTCATCATCATGTCATGTGTGTAGATGAATGATCAATGAAGCTTGTTGTACACTGAACCAAAATATAAAACACAGCACTTTTTTTTGCTCCTATTTTTCATGAGCTGAACTCAAAAATCAATCAAAGATAAATCTGTGTTAGTGAGCACTTCCCCTTTGCCGAGATAATCCATCCACCTCACAGGTTGCTGAGTAGACAACATGGCAATTGCACAGGTGTGCCTTAGGCTGGCCACAATCAAAGGCCACTGTAAATGGGGGGGTGACCACCATCTTCACATAAAGCTGGTCAGGTTGATTGTGGCCTGTGGAATGTTGGTCCACTTCTCTTCCATGGCTGTGCCAACTTACTGGATATTGGCAGGAACTGGACCACGCTGTCGTATACGCCGATCCAGAGCATCCCAAACAAGCTCAATGGGTGAAATGTCCGGTGAGTATGCTGGCCATGCTAGAACTGGGATGTTTCAGCTTCCAGGAATTGTGTACAGATCATTGCAACGTGGGGCTGTGCATTATCATGCTGCAACGTGAAGTGATGGTTGTGGATGAATGACACAACAACGGGCCTCAGGATCTCGTCACAGTATCTCTGTGCATTCAAAACGTCATCAATAAAACACACCTGTGTTCGGTGTCCATAACATACGCCTGCCCATATCATAACCTCAGCACCACCGTGGGCCACTCGATTTACAACATTGACGTCAGCAAACTGCTCACCCACACGACGCCATACACTGTCTGCCATTTGCCCTGTACAGTGAAAACCGGGATTCATCCATGAAGAGAACACCTCTCAGTGCCAGACGCCATCGCATGTGCCCACTCAAGTCAGTTACAGCGACAAACTACAGTCAGGTCGTGAACCTGATGAGGATGACGAGCAAGCAGATGAGCTTTTCTGAGACGGTTTCTGACAGTTTAAATTTCTTTGGTCATGCAAACCAGTTGTTGCAGCAGCAGTCCGGGTGGCTGGTCTCAGACAATCTTGGAGGTGAAGATGCTGGATGTGGAGGTCCTGGGCTGGTGTGGTTACATGTGGTCTGCGGTTGTGAGGCCAGTTGGATGTACTGCCAAATTCTCTGAAACGCCTTTGGAGATGGCTCATGGTAGAGAAATGAACATTCAATTCACGGGCAACAGCTCTGGTGGACATTCCTACAATCAGCATGCCAATTGCACATTCCTTTAAAACTTGCGACATCTGTGGCATTGTGCTGTGTGATAAAACTTCACATTTACAGTGGCCTTTTATTGTGGCCAGCATAAGGCACACCTGTGCAATAATCATGCTGTCTCATCACCATCTTGATATGCCACACCTGGGAGGTGGATGGATTATCTCGGCAAAGGAGAAGTACTCACTAACACAGATTTAGACAAATTCGTGAACAATATTTAAGAGAAATAGGCCTTTTGTGTACATAGAAAAAGTCTTAGATTTTTGAGTTCAACTCATAAAAAATGGGAGCAAAAACAAAAGTGTTGCGTTTTTATTTTTGTTCAGTGTATAATAAAGCTATTTTTAAAATAAATGTTTTCCTTGAGTTTATGGTGGAGTAAAGGCCACGGTTAATAACATCAGAAAGGTTTGACTAGCATCATCTGATTATTAGAGCATAAAGTACCTTATGTGCAACCTTGAAACAATTTTTAAGAAAGGCTTTTGTCACACATCACTTCTAAATTACTGGAATGGGAACTGCATCTCTCTAAAGAGCTCAGAACAGAACACATGATGTAAGTGAGTGACTGAATGTTGAGTTCAATCGATAAAATGCTCGCTATATCAGTTACTAAATCAAAAAATATGTACTGTGCTTACACACTTTATTAAGTAAACCTCTGACTTTTGATTCGTAATACATATATGTTATCGCTTCTTTACTTATGTATTACTCATTATGTAATACTATTTTATTTGTAATATTTATTATTATATATATTATAATATTTCTCATTTGTAATACACATTTCAACAATTTCCCTGAGGTTTCCACCAAAGGGATCAATAAAGTTCTATTCTATTCTATTCTATTCTATTCTATTCTATTCTATACCTGCAAAGGCAATGCAAGTGTTTATATTTGAAAATTTGATGCTAAGATGTTTGAGACAGCTCACTGCAGATACAATACAGACAAGTTAGGTCACATTTTAACAGTAGTAGAGACATTTTCCTCGGGAAAAGATGAAGAAAGGAGTCATACCAGCAAGAGACAACAGACGAAGACTTCTCATTCCAAACAAATGCTGCAGTCCAAAATCTTGCACCTGCAATCACACACGTGCACACATGCGCGTGCACGCACACACAAATACATACACATAATTAAAAAACACTAAGACATTAAAGTATATCTCTATTTTCAAGGAGGAGTTCCATTACACAAATGCTTGTATTCTGTAAAATCAACGGCCAGCAAGTTCTGTCAATGTCTGTCTTTTTATTTTTATGTCCCTAAATTGCATCACTTCACAACAACAGCAACCATGACGGCATACAGGAATAAAGCAAGTTATATTAGTATGCTAATTTCAACAATGTGTGCTTGGAAGTGGTAAATTTACAGCCAAAACTCTTAAACTGCAAAGTCTGTTTGCAATAGTGGTCACTCAAAAATAAGGATTCAAGGTATAACCTTAACACACATATAGTTTGATAAGCCATGTTAGAACTGAGAGTTACATGGAAGGGGCTGCAACATCTACTGTAATTTAAGAATTTCTTGGTGTTGTATTTTAAGTTTGTGAATAAGGTTTCAAGCTTTCTTAATACTCATATTTCTTCTTCTAATTTGTCAGATGTTGTCCATCGATAATGCCTGCAGTGACCACAAGGAATCTTGACTGCTAAATGATAAATAATGGAACCTGCTTGTCTAAAATGTTTGTGTTTGTACAAATTGTAAACACGGTCATGTTTTATTTCCATTTTGTGTGTTTGTATTTTTTGTTACCTGACAGCACCAGCGCAGGTAGAGGCTTCTTAATGATGACATGGTGGACAAATATCCCAAGCCAGTGTCTGTGATCCGCACACACCTAAAAGAAGACACAATAAACAAATTACATCAATGTAAACCATCACCCTTCCTTTTTGATGCAATTAAATTGGTATTTATGTAAGTTTATTTCTATTTGTGATGTAATGGTGGAATAGTTTGCTGAGCTAAAAGGGGATCTGCTTATAAAGGACTGTCTGAGTAATAACAAGGATTTTTAGGAGGATTGAATCCTTGGAGCAACAGGCAACCAGTGGAGAATGGGGTTGTTTGAAACAGGGGAGATGGGGTCAAGGAAGTTACAGATGTACTGGAGTTTATTCCTATTATTAGTTTATTGTGATGTTCTATTCGGGACTCCTACTGTCGGGATCAAGTCTGGATATGGTGAGAGCATGGCTCAGGGTTCTCACTAACAGAGAAAAAGAGTTATAGGCGCTATGATTTTACATGAAAAAGGCATTTCTGGTGATTTGATTAACATTGTGTTCAAAAGAAAAATTGTTGTCAACAACAATCCTAAGCTGAAGAACAATAGGGAAGAATTCAGAAGAGAGTTGGGCAAAGGAGAGAAAGAATGGATTGGGCAATAAGAATGTGAGATTTTTTTTAAAGATGAGGTTTTGTTTGTGCTTTCTTGTGGTACAGTGTCAGCATGGTAGTTGGTTAGAGTGGAGTGAGTTACACTATGGATGTTGTGGAGATGTAGATTTGGATGTCAACAAATAGTAACGTAGGTGTGGACCATGAAGACATATTATGTTACCATGAAGATGTATGAGGAGTTTGAACAGAAGAGGACCCTGCACAGAACTGTGGTCCTGGTGTTTTGGGACATCACTCACTTTCATTTTCTGTTGCTGATTTAAGACATTATTTTACTGTGTTTATGCTACAAGTATTTGGATATTTTTAAGTGCGAAAGCTACTAGGTTAAGTTGAGGAAAAGATCTTGATTTGGGTTATTATCTGCCAGTGAAACACTAAACACAAAGCTCCTGTTGCCACTGTAGCAACGCAGAAAACAAGAACCACCCAATGAATAGCCACTAAAAATTTGAGCATCTTACAAGTTTACAGACAGATTTGTGATACTAGCACATTTTGCACTACCAATGTACGAGGTGTGTCAGAAAAGTTCCAGAATGGGTGTCACAAAAGATATATTTCAAATCCAAACTACAAACTACAAGTTTTCCCCTTCGAAGTAATCCCCCTGGAGTCCAACACACTTTCCCAGCCTTCTCTGCCACACCACCATGCACTCCAAGAAGGATTCTTCTGGGATCCTCTGCAGCTCCGTCATCACAGCCATCTTGATGTCTTCCACGTCTTCAAAACAGGTCCCCTTGATGACCGCCTTGAGCTTGGGAAAGAGGAAAAAATCCCACAGAGCCAGGTGGGGTGAGTAGGGAGGTTGCTCCAGCACAGCAATGTTCTTCTCAGCCAGGAACTGTCGGATGCTCAGGACATTGTGAGCACACGTTGTCATGGTGAAGCAGCCACAACTTGTTCTGCCACAACTGTTGCCTCTTCTTATGCGATGAACAAAGCGAACGCTGCCTGATCTCTTTGTTGATGTGCTGGTTGATCATCTGAAGGGGAAAACTCGTAATTTGTAGTTTGGGTTTGAAATATATGTTTTGTGACACCAGTCCAGGAACTTTTCTGACACACCTCATAGCTCTTACACAGACTAGGGTGAATGCAGGGGTTTATGTCAGGTTTTGGTGAGGCAAAGTAAATCTAGGTGGCTGCCAGTTTTAAATTAATTCAAAGACAGTTGTGGGGGTGTTTTGCTGCAGGAGGGACTGGTGCACTTCACAAAATAGATGGCATCATGAGGAAAGAACATTATGTGGAAATATTGAAGCAGCATTTCAAAACCTCAGCCAGGAAGCTAAAGCTTGGGCGCAAATGGCTCTTCTAAATGGACAATGACCCCAAGCATGCCACCACAACAGTTACAAAGTGGCTTAAGGACAACAAAGTTAATGTTTTGGAGTGGCCATCACAAAGCCCTGATCTCAGTCCTGTAGAAAATTTATGGGCAGAGCTGAAAAGGTGTGCGGAGCAAGGCAGTCGACAAACCTGACCCAGTTACACCAGTTCTGTCAGGAGGAATGGGTCAGAATTCCAGCATACTATTGTAAGAAGCTTGTGGAAGGATACCCTTAAGTCATACAGTTTAAAGGCAATGCAACCAAATACTAAGGAAATGTATGTGAACTTCTGACTTTGAAGAAAGTAATAAAAAATTCTCTAAAAAATTCTTTCTCTCATTATTCTGGTGTTTAGCAAATAGAACTAACTTTTGTAATCCTAGCTGACCTTAAACAGCAAAAGTTTAGTCACCTGTCAGATAGTGAGAAAAAAAAAAGGTTGTGTGTCTTTTTATGCAGTGTATGTAAACTTTTGGTTTCAGCTGTATATTGATGTTTCAGATGATTGCTTAGAATTTGATTGTGAAGATAAAGGAAAAAAAAAAAGTTTGGACAGATTTATATGCTGTTTGTTGGGATGCTGTAACGAGGAAGTTAGTTTGCAACAAAAATGCCAAAAATATGGAATTGATTGAAATTAAGGAAATTGAATTTCAAATTAGTATCCTCTGTATCCTTAGGAAGGGTTCTGCAGAGTGCTTCAGCTTTAGTCCAGCAGATAGTTATTGAAGTTTAGAAGTTTCAAGGTGGAGTACCATGGAATCTTGGACCAGCTGAAGAATACCAGTACAAATCTAGTATTAGCATGGGGAGCTGGGAGTTTGGTAAAGTAGTAATGGTAGACTTTACAGAAGAATTTCCACAAGATAATCCATAGCACAACAATAGCAGGACACCAATGATGAAAAAGAGAAAACAGATGGCCTGAAGAAGCTACCAGCCTGTCAGCCTTCTGAAATTAAACATGACAATAGGTAGTGGAGAAAAAAACGATGTGAAACTGGCAAGGCTAACCAGGGAGCTCAGGTTGCAGAGCATTTTGTCTGGTTTAAACCCAGGCTTCCAGTCTTGGGCAAAACATTGAACCTCAAGTTGCCTGGATGGCAGATGAGCACCTTGCATGGCAGCTCCATTGCTACTGCAGAGTGAGCGAGTGTTTGAATGGATAAATGAGAGGCAAACATTGTAAAGCACTTTGTAAACTCCAAAGGTAAAAGGATACTATTTCAGTCCATTTACTGTTTAACTGCACAGGGACAGATAGTGTCCAACGGGTTGAACAAGAGGCAAAGGGCATTTGCTAAGTAGTGGATCAGTGGTGGGATAATCTCAATGACGTTGGCTTGAGAGATAAATTCATACGCAGGTAAGATGGCAGGGTTGTCAAATTTCAGCGACCCAGATGGAATGAGAATCAGGGTGGGGTTTAATAGCCTGGAAGGAAGATGCTGTCAGTGTAATGAAGGAGAGCAAGTTCACTTCTATGAAGTGTGAAGTCCCACAACACAGTAATAGCCTAAATAAATTGTTAATAATATTCAACTAAAATATGCAGTGTGTTTATTAGTTTTGTACAATTCGCTAAACAATAAAAAAATCTGTCATAATGTACCTAACTATGGCAAGTTATGGTACAATTAAAAATTGTTTTTGTTGTTACTGGGCTACCTGTTTTTTTTAATAATTGGTCATGGCGGTCATGATTGAGGCCACATTCAATATATTGCTATGTTAACACATATACACACTAACATCCGAACTACAAACACTGTGAAACTTTAAATTTAAGCAGTGAAATTTAAAAATCCTTGTAATAATAAACTTTACTTGACAAAAAATATTTTTGCTTGTCCAGAGCAAATGGCGGGGAATTTAAATACTAGAGGAAAGACTCCTTTAAAAGCTGTAAGCAAAAACAAAACTTCATCTTCTGTTAACATTTTGTCTCAGTCTAACCAGTTACAGAATCTGTCTGAATTTCAATAATAATTTTTTTAATGGACACTACAATCTGTACGAGATGTGAAATTGTAGAGCAAAATTGTGGAGCAAAATCGGTGAGGTAAAGGTACTGAAACCTCAACCTAAGGCCAACCTTTCACTTTTGTCAGGCATAAAGTAACAGAACAGATCTCAGCCCTTGAGTGGCTGGAAGCAAGAAAGACACAGAAAGATCAAATGATGCACTGCCCAGCTAGACTGTTGAGACAGACAGACTACAGAGCGTTCCTCTCCAAGAGGCTTCATCAGTTCAGTTCAGAACTGATGAAGCGTCTTGGATGAGACTTGAAACGTCTTCAAGGAACTCAAGCAAATCCACGATGAATCTACGAGAATAACCATGACCTGGATGACTGAGAATTTTCACAGTCATTCTGTGAAACATCTTTCTTTGTAAATATCTCGTGTTACAACGTGGACACCTGCAGCTTATAGACAAGTGCAGCCTATATATGTACAAAATTTGTTTTCTTTAGTTAGTGGGTGCAGCTTATATTTAGGTGCGCTCAACAATCCAGAAATTACAGTAATTACTCTACTTATTCTAAGACCCAATAAGCAACTTGAGGGGAGATGAGAGACGATAAGGGGGATGTGATACCCTTGTTTGCAAAATGAAAAAAATGCATTCACTTTGTTAACCTCTCTCCATCATAATAGCAGCGAGAATGTGTCTGGTTCACCTGACTTGATCCTCTATTAGGCTGAGGTTTCTGCTGGTCAGAAGGCCCTGATCATGGCTCTGAAATATCAGTAACCTAACTGTTGTGTTGTGTAAATTGATGGTGCTGCCTATGGTGCTGAATTTGCAGGCTTATTTGTAATTGCACTTTTTTCAGTCCCACCATTCTGTCAGTTTCATTTTTTATCTAAAATAGCCCCTAAACAATATATAGCCGTGACTCGATAATGCAACACTAAATGTAAAATCTTCCTATATGTCAGATAGCAAGGCTGTTGGATTGTCAAGACAGAAGTAAAGATACAAGGAGGACTTGATACTTGAAGGGTTATTTGTTGTTAATATTTATTGTTTATAGTCGTTATAATAACTAATGTATTGTTAGGACACTGTGATTGTGCACGGGCCCGTCGGCTGACATCAAAGGTAAATACGTTCAGACAGCAGGCTGAAGTGACCCAAATCCAATTTTTTTTTTTTTTTTTTTTTCTTTTCAACCTTTATCTGATCTTTTCATGACAGTCTGAACAACACAGATCCAATAAATGATGAATATCTGAATATTCAGTGCGGTCGGGGTAGGAGGGGGCACTTCCACCCCGGGGGTGCGCTCTGATGGGGTGGAAGTGACCAACACGCACAGGCAGTGCTTGGCAGCTGATGCCAGATTAGGATAACGGTCACAGTTCTGTTTCCACCATCGGTGGTGGCGGCGAGAAAGTGGCAGTTACGCTCCACTATTACCATCCCTGTTTACTTCCATTAATTTTGAGCAGGTTCACTGTGTGGCGTTGTTGTGTCCTCTTCTGCGCATGCGCATTTAATTGGAAATGTGAACGAACTCGCAAAAAAATCGGATTTCACAAAATAATCTGAATTGAGCATTAAGTCCTGCAGTCTGTACGTTGCCAATCTGTCAGATTGTTAAGTCAGATAATACGCCATTATCCTTATTTGTGACATAAAATGTCATGTCGGAGTTGGAATCAAAGGCTGTCAGTATGTTAAGGCTATTTCTAATGGATGGTTTCGTTTTTTTCTTCCTAAAAACCTGTCAGATAGCAAGGTTTTCGGATTGTTAAGGGTCGGATTAGCAAGTTACAACTGTACATTAAAAACTCAAAGCTATACTATTGTAGCTCACATACTCTACACAGGTAGTGCCATATTCTTGATCAAAGTATCAACGTTTAGTGGCTAAAGAGCAAGCATTTCATAGAGACACACTGGCGCAACTACTATTCCTATTATATGCCTTCAATATTTTTATGATGATTCAATAGCATCTGTGCTGCTGAAAACACACTCCAGACCAAACCAGGCCTGTAACAAAATATTTTAGCGGAGACATGACTACAGATATAATGTTGTTTTTAATGTACATGTTTGATGTAACCTGGGAGTGGAAAAAATATTGTGACTGGGGGAGCTGACCTACACCAACCACCACACTCAGCTTCTATACACAAAAAAAATGTTTTCAGCCTAACATCAGTTCTAATCAACAGAAAATAAAATTGCAATTAAAATGTCAACAATTGCATATAAATGCAAATATAAAGCAGTCATACTTGAGCAGAACACAGACTTGTTGTTTGTTTATTCATTAATTCTACTTCCTTTACTATTTTTTTTTTCTTTCTGGCTATATTAGCCTATAATATTGTCCTTTCTTTTTTTCAGTGTTGATTGTGTGTCAATACAGAAATTAAAATGGTAAAAGATTCCAAGAGGTTATGTGAATCATGTAAAATATGAAAATGCTCCATGCATGTAGTGTGTTGTGAGAAATATGAGAAAACACAGCCTGAATGAAGTCAGTCACAAAACCCTGAAAATTGAAAGTCACTCATTACTTTAATACACTGTTACAAAAAGATAATTATATGAGGGAGAAAACGATGGCAACTGGTACATCTAATGTTACAATTAGAAATGTCATAGTGAGGTGTCTGGTAACACTGTTCTTTGGGAGGTGTACATGTGTGTGTGTGTGAGTGGGTCTGGGACTAATTAACTCAATCTTAGTTTAACTTGTGTTTTAAGGTGGAGGCCTAGTGGCAGGGTTTCTGTAGTTTTCAACAAATAAAATTTAAGACCTTCTTAAGACCATTTGACCATTAGAGGGCAATGGAAGTAAAAGTTCACATTGATATTGGCAAAAACAAAAATATAAGCATCAGGCTTCCTGTTTACATTAGTCTCCCAACAACCTCAATTCTAATTGAAAAGTACTTATTTTTTGCTTTGTGTAAAGTCCAGGTTCACACACAGCATAAAAACCTGCTTTTAACCTTGGCATAAGGCCAAACATTATGTGGAGGCCACATACTAGAATTGGGCTGGGGCCAGACTTTGGCGACGTTTCTGATGTGAAAAGACGCAATATTGAAAGATGACAGGTATTTGCTGGTGACTTCTTCAGTATCTTACAGTATCCCCTGTAATTGCAATGCCTATAGTTCCTTATTTTCTTGCACTAGTGCAGTGGGCTTCAAATTTGTTATTTTCAGCAGCACTAAAAACATTTTTCTCAAGCCAGATCTCATCAAACGACCTTTGGTGATACATTTGGCAACTTTGGTGATGCTCCTGATGAGATAAAAAGCAATTTTGGGAGATGCCAGGTATTTGCTGGTGACTCTTGCAGCACCTTTATGTTTTTCTGACTTTACATGTAATTGCAATGCCTCCAAAGTACCTCATATTCTTGCACTAGTGCAGCGGGCTTAAAATATGTTATTTTCAAAAGCACTAAATGTATTGTAGTACATAGTAAGGTGAGGACCTTACAAATTTTGAACAGAGAACCCAACAATCCAAAGTTCCCTTTGAATTCCCTCTGAGCAAGATACAGTGGGAAGGAACCTAAAAAAAAAACTAAAACGGAGAGGGGGAAAAACCTCAGACAGAACCAGGCTCAGGGAGCATATTTTTTTAGATATAAAAAGGCACTTGGTTAGTCCACACACCAAACTGCAACACACTAGATGAGTATGCTCCAATATGTCACTTCCAGTCCAGACAGTCTGTGTTTGGTCACTTACATCAGTTACATCATTTTCAGTGTTTCAGGCTTGGTGCTTCTGTGCATTCATGGTAAAATAAAATAATAGAAACAATAATAAAAAGCCAAACCACAAGCTTACCATAATTTGAGCAGGTTTACGGTAAATTTTGTGGGAGATATAGTGCTTTGAATTGCACAAAAACCACATTGCAAGAGTTCAAAACTAACTGGACACTTGGCTAAAAAAAAACATTTCTTGGACAGCAGCATACAGTAAAGGATTTGTCACAAAGTTACGAAACTAAATATCATGACTTCATCTGAATTCATGTGTATCTGTCCATTTATATTTGAGCATTTAAAGTATATGTTAAAAGATCGATACTGACCTCTTACATTTTTAAGTTTGCAAGCAAGCTGACGCAAATTAAAGCAGCGACTGGACAATTTAATGTTGCATCTACTATATTACATCCAACTGAATGCAAGAAATCTGATACTTTTACCAGATACATTCTAATTCTTACCAAAATAACTTTAAGGACTACTTTCACTTCTTTTGCCATTTATCTTATTAAGTACAGATTTTGAAGGATGAAAGCACAGTATCACAAACAAGACTAACCTGTCCAGTACCAGTTCTTCCAGTTTATGCAGATCACATGCAATGTACTCCAGCGCCATGTCAGTGATCCGAGGGCACCAGGACAAGTCCAGGCTGCGAAGCTTGCGCAGGTTCTCAGCAACCAGCTCCACACCATCATCAGTGATCTTGGAGCAGCCAGAGAGGCTGAGGGCAGTCAGGTTAGGAAGGCTGTGAACCATGTTTACCACACCATGATTAGTGATCTCCCAGCAGGAGTGAAGCCGCAGAGTGTGGGTGGTGTAACCCTGCAAAGGTAATACAGTTATTTGGTTAAGCAAGTGAATATAAAAAAAATTGATAACAACCTGGGGGTGCATTATTATTAAAGATGAGCCCACCACATGCAGGCTACGAAGAGTATTTATTCACACAGGGTTCTTTGAGGTACAGCTATGCAAATGATTAAAAGAAAATATAGTGTAAGGCTGTCTGAGTGTTGAAGGATCTAGATTTCTAGGATTGTCACGAATCAGGTTTGGACCCAAGTGCAGACACACAGCAGGCAGGGACAGATTGCAAGTAACACAAGTTTTATTTGATAAAAATAATAAACAAAACAAAAATAAACACGAAATAGTAACCAAACTCAAAGGGAATTTACAAGGAAGACTAATTCAATGAAAACAGGGAAACTAGGAAAAGACTTAAAACAAACTAATTAAACAAACTATGGAAAATACAGAGTAACAAAACTGGAAAACAGAAATGGAAATACTCAGAAACCAGAACTAAAACTACAGCAAGGGGGAAAGGGCAGACAGGCTTTGGGAAATGCAGGCTGGAAACTGGTTGGGGACAGTGGTAGGAGAAGGCTGGCTGGGGTAATGCAGGCTAGAAGCAGGATGGAGATCACTGGCAGGAAAAGGCTGACTGAGGGAATGCAGGCTAGAAGCAGGACGGAGATCAGTGGCAGGAAAAGTGAGCACCAACTCTTTGCTGGGCCAGCGCTAAGCACCAGCTAAGCACCAAGTACGTCAGGGGCTGGGGGTGGGGTTATTGTGACTACCGAGACTGATGAATGAATGGGACACACAAGCAGTGATTTGTGCTGTTTTTTGCCAGGACGTCCCTGGTCGGATCACAAATGTATTGGATGAGTCCCAGGACACATGGAGGTTTTACACAAACTGTTGTGCCCTGATATCCGGTGCAATTGTGTCCCAGCAGCAGCACCACAGTGGTGGAAAACGGGACTTTTATAACTTTGGTGTGCTGCTGTATTTACGCTGCGGTCCTCTCGTGAGAAACGGAGTGCACCTACGTGTGCTGTTTATTCTGATCATAGAAATGACAGCATGAGAAAAACTCAGTTTCATCTTAGACAAATCTGACATTAGAACGCACTGGTTTACTCTTGCTAAAATCATTTTTGGTCATGCACTGGTCTGATCACCGCAGCCACCAACAACCGCTACCGCAGCCTGCAATGTGGGGTGTTCGGGGAACATCAGAAAATGTAGCGTCTATCGACAAGAAAATGTTCAGCAAGTCATATGTTTTGCCTGTGACAATGTGAGAAGTGCAAACAAATGAGAAAGTTGGTCTGGAGTCCTGTGTGGACTTCGTGTGGCGCGAGTGTTGTTCGGTAAACGGCTACGTATGCAGTGACCTACGGTGTCGCCCTAACTTGGCTCCCTGCGATGGAAAAGCAACCGGTTGTTAGATTGGAACCAACTAAGCACTGGCCCTAGCACCAGCACGGCACGAGCACCTGGTGCTCCTTGGTGGAAGAGGGGTAAGAGAGAGAGACAGAGGCGGAGAGAGGCAGGAGCTGAGGGTTAGGCTGGGTGAGAGGGAGAGAAAAAGGGAGCCAGGCAGGGGCTGAAGCAGGGATCCTGACAAGGATTTACAGACCAGCCATCTCATACTATGGTTTCTATGACAGGGCACAGCTAAGACTGGTGCTGGTGCCCCTAGTTTACTTTGGAAGAGGCAACTGACCGCAGATTAACAAAAACAGGTGGAATTCAGATTAAACCCTAGGCAGGCACAACCAATTAGGATGAGGAACTACACCTGACCCTATGGCAAAAACCTGCAGCAGTTGCTCTTAGCCTGAAAGAGGTTATGGCCAGCAGTAATGCAGTTCTAAGGGAAACCCATTTCTGATCAGCAACAAAGGTCTCAAAAGAGGGGGATGCTGAAGTGCATTTCAGACTATTCCAAAGACTTGTAGAGGGACTTGGATCGAATCCTGTGGTGCTGTTACACCTTGCAGGGTAGTGACAGACTTTCTCTGCCTCCAGCTAAGACAGTACAAACAGCAGGAGCCACTGGGCTGTGATGAGTAGGCATCTGCCTGGCAAGGCACCCCGTTAACGACCTACTTAATGGATGGCAACCAGGCTTGTTGTGTATTTCTCACCACAGGCCTTGAAAAGCCTAAGGTTAGGAGCCTCTTCCTCTCAGAGGCCAAGCCAACAATCTGAGCCCAGCCAGTAAGGGATGGAACAGGGTATTGTCGGCCTGAGACAGCAGGTTTTCTCCAAAGTGGAAGCTTCCAAGGCAACCCATTTGAGAGAGGCAAGTACATGGCAAGTACAGCCAAAGAGGTGCCACTGTAATCAGCCTCAGTCCTTCTGCCTTAACCCTTGGGAGAAGGGCTGGAAAAGCATAAAAGGAGATAAGGCAAAAAGCAGATTCCCCAGATGTGTGCCAGGGTGTCCCACCCCAAAGATGGATCATCATCCCATGAGGGAAAAGAAGAGTGGACATTGTGCCAACTCTCTGGAATTGAAAAGGTCATTAGTCTCCCTCCTGAAGTACAGAACCATGCTCAAAAATGTTATCATCTGGGATGGCCAGAGATCGAACTTCAAAATGTCAAATACCACCCCAAGCCTCGCATGTTTTGCAAACGGATAGTAATGTAATATTTCTCCGCTGAGCCCATTCACACCAGCTGAGAGACGGGGTAGACAGCCACTGTCAGCTGTTCCAGACTGTACTTGTCATTGCATTAGCTAGCTACCGCAAGCAATATATTCCAGGGGCATTCAGGTGTTGGCAGAGAGATGCTAGCTCGGCTGGAGTAATATTTTCTCACCTGCTGTTCGTAGACTGAAAAGTCTGTACTCAGCAAGGGTCACACCAAACACATTAGCTCTCGAAATCATGAGCAATATGCTGGCACAGGGAAACACAGCTGTAGCAACTGGCTCTCTCAGTGATTCAATTCAATTTAATTCAAATAACTTTATTTATCCCCTCGGAGCAACGAAGGCAGCAAAGGCGATGTCCAGAGGGGAGCCACTCAAATGCAGAGAAAAGAGGGTGTGATGGGTCCTGAAGGATCTTCCTGGCTTTCCTTAAGGTCTGTTCCTCACAAAAGGTGGAGAGGGCTCTTACAGGGAGCCCGATAATTTTGAACCAGATCTTGACAACACTCAGCAGCTGGTTTTTGCTTTGGACAGAGATAGAGTGAAACCAGCAAGTAAAAGAGAAAGTGATAATAGAATAGAAGAATAGAATAGAATAGAATAAAACTTTATTGATCCCTTCGGTGTAAACCTCAGGGAAATTGTTGTCCTAGAAAAGTACAATTCCCTTCATGTTCTCTATGAAGATGTTGTGAGGATGTTTTTGCTCACACTGAAAGAGTTCAGCTTTCGCAGGAGATATTGTCATTGAACATTTTTTTCAGAATCTCATCCGTATTGAGGTCAAATTTCTGCTGCTGGTCGAAGACTGTTCCACGGTATTTGTACTTCTCTACCACTTCCACAGGCTCCTCATGAATGGTGGTGACTACAGCCTCAGCCAGTTCCCTCTGTCTCTTAGAGAAGGTCACTACCATCTCTTTGGTCTTATCCACATTCAGTTCAAGGCATGATCTATCGCACCAGTCCACAAACTCGGTTAGAGACGAGCCGTGGTGGTGTGACGAGCCTGACAGCAGGGACAGGAGGACCGTGTCATCGGCAAACTTGACCAGGTGGCAGTTCAGGTGGGTAGACCTGCATTCATCAGTGCAGAGGATAAACAGAAGACGGGAGAGAACACAGCCCTGGGGTGAACCAATTGATGTCTAGATCAGGGGTTCTCAACTGGTCTCACCCTGGGACCCACATTTTCCATGGTCATTAAGTCGCAACCTAATTTTTTTTAGAATTCAATATTCAATATATTTTCCTGTGCAACATGCATTTCAAAGCATATAACCATGCATAGTGACTGGACCATGACAACTGCATCTACAAAACTGCACAAAATAAAAAGGCCACAAAACAACATATTTTCACTCTATTTTGAGCAAATTAATAAGAAACTAAGGAGGACCATGACAACTACATGCACAAAAGTGAATAAAAGAAACTACTCTAAAAAATAAAGTTTTGGCTTAATCAGGTCATTTGTTGAAGTTAACGAGACAGTTAGACACGTGCTCTACTCTTGATTAGAGTTTCAAAATCTGGGGTGACAGTAGACAGAGCTCCTGCTCAGTGTCCAACCTGTTTCTCTGCTGTGACTTGAGTTGGACAAAGGTAGAGAAGACACTTTCACACAAACAGGTTGAGCTTATTGGTAAGATTGTTTAACTGCAAGAGTGGTGAGGGATGGATACTCAGCCATCACATCACTACACCAGAAGCGGGAAAGGATTACCTCCCCAAATCTCTTTCTCAGCATCTGATCACATGACAGATCGTGTTTCACATTCAGCTGCGACCATATAGCAGTCAAACTGGCAGGAAAAGAGTGACAGTAACTAAGGGAAACGTCCGGAACAAAGCTGAGCAGCCGGCCATCCTGATTGGCTTCAGTTAAGCTGATCCTGTCTCCTCAAAATATGGCAAGCCAAGACAATCAAAATTCCAACATTCAACACATTTCTAAATACATCTGAACTAAATGATGAATACAGTTACCTAATAACATTCCACTATTTATCAATTCCTCCATATTTATAACCTGTGTTACAAGTGCATTTTCTTAATTTAAGTTAAGAAATGCAGCCTTCTCTCTTCTTGATAACAAAGAGAGGAGGGAGGGTTAAGTTACCAAAAGTTGTGGCAAAATCCTCTCCGCGCCTTCCATACACGTCCCCCTGGACCGTGGAGAATAAAAGTAGGAAATTGCCTTTGTTCTCTCTCTTACTTCCTGTTGCTTTTTCATTCTCGTCTCTGTCTCTCATCTCTTTCGTTTCTTTTGTTTCTTACTCTCTTGTTCCATTTCTTTGTCCGCATTTTTCTTTCGTCTTTTTATGTATCTTCCTTTTAGTAGTTCTTAGTTGTAGTTTTGACTT